ATTTCTTATATTATCCTTAAGGGGAAAAAAATAATTTGCCAAAATCACATTTTTAGTGTTTTGATTTTTTAAAAACAATTAAAAACCTGTTTAGAACACAGAAAGCAGTAAAGATTTTGTATATTTTTCATACATTATGAAGATATACAAAACAGATATATTTGGGGAACGTATTGTCTGACCTTAATTATTTGCTTACTACCAGTGAATTCGGATGGGTAGAAGTCCCCTACCGGTGAAACCGGAGAGGACTATAGGTTTCCGTTGCGTCCGTCCGACCGTCTGTCTGTCTGTCAGTCTTGCTTCAGTTTCCACACTTCTTTTCTAAACGCTAGCAGATATTGGAATGATTTTTTGGTATATGACTCGATCACAGGCACTTGTTTCGGAAATAAATTTTTAACCCATAGTATAATAATTATCATACTATGGGTTAAAAATTTATTTCCGAAACAAGTGCTTGTGATGTGACTTCACCTTGATGAGTTGTAGATCAAGTTTGAATTTGTCTCACATCGATCGGTGATTTTTGATGGAATTGTTGCATTTTCAATTTTAGCAAGGACCTATATAGTATATATATAGTATGAAGTATATAGGTCCCTGCATGATTTTAGTTGGAACCAGAATTAGATTACACATGCCGGAAGGGGACAAGTACTTGTATTGTTTTTGCTCATCATTTGTCAAAACAACACTAACATGGATTTATTCAGTTTTATTCTATGGAAGGGAATTACCGCCAAAAGTCTATGTACCTTGCTTTTATTCTTATTCTGCCTACTTCTTTATGCTTTGTTATTATTGTAATTATATGTCACTTTATTGTTTTCATATTCGTCTTCATTACATTTCACTTTGACTTTTATCCTTCTTTATTTTGCCCTTACTTCTATGTTGCTTTATTCTTGTAAATTCATTTTACTTTCTTTTAAATCGATACTGTTTCTTAAATGATTATTACTATTACGAACGTTAACTCAATCATGCAAACAATGAAGCATATTCAATGAAGACGAATACAAGTTGTCCGAATTTAGTGCCGCATTATAACGCTAGGTGGCAGGGGTGTTCGCTAAGAGTGTTGGTAAAATTAGGTAAGCAAACCCGGGCCGGGGTTATTCGAGTTTTTTCAATTTTATGTCTTAATACTTTATTAATCAAACTTAAATTTTTAAAAGACCGATGTTTGTTATAAGTTCAGGTATGTACCCGATACATGCCATTCCCTCGGAAGTCTCGCTAGATGGTAAGACTTCCCCTGGAAGACTGACTACATAGTGATGCTTCCTTCGGAAGACTATACATTGGGACTCCCCCCAGGGAAGTTTCAATATAGTCTTCAGTGGGAAATCTCGCTATATATAGCAATTCGCCCCTTCCTAGCAACCCCTACCCCGAATAGTTTTTTAAAATATTTTTTCTTTAAAATCTTTTAAATATACTAGTATATAGGTCCCTGGTTCTGTATGAATAAATATTTAAATAATATCATTTTAATAGTGTTTTATAATTAAATCATTTTAACCATTTAGTTAATCCTCACGTGTCCATATGGATAATGACTCTTCTCTCTCTCCCCCCCCCCCCCCCCCCCGTTGGATGCAGTCGCCAGCGTGGCACTATGGCTACGGCGTCTGCTCTTTATAGAGTCACGAAGTACAGTAGTAAGGAGTCGACCAATACGTCGTGGGTTCGAATCCCATTATAGGATGTGGAGTTCGGTCCTTCGGTCCTTCGGATAAGATCTAGACCGTATTATCCGAGGTCCCGTGTCGCAGTAGGTGCTGGCACGAAAAAAAATCCCTCACTGCTCAATGGCTATAAGTGCCTCGTAGGACAAATTTGTAGCTCCCCACCGGCAAGAGGTGGCTTCTCCTTTTGAGTGAAAAATTCTCGAAAAGGAAATTATACAATCACACCACCAAAGTCTCAATATATATACTGACTTCCGGGTGGACGACCTCCTATGGGGTAAGTTTCATCGGTAGAGGGGAGGGTGGCCACGAAACATTTACCTAAACGTAACTTTTTACTACTGGAAAAGTTCAGCAAAAGGCTTGTTGCCCCCATCCCTTACACTTTTTGTTGCAGTACTAATAGTCAATTTATATATTAAAAGTCATGTACTTAGTGGCATATGAGTAAAATTTATTACGGAAAAAAATTGACGACCCCCCCCTTCACCACCACCAAATAGAATTTTCGAGTTTTTAGATTTTTTTTTAGCTCTCCTGGTTGATGACAAACACGGTGCATACTAAAGATATTTCTTTCTTTATTAAAAAGTGCTATTTTAGTATAAAATATATATATCAGGAAAAAAGACCGAGGTGTTTCTAGTATGCCTGGGTGCATGTAGTCTGGTTCCGACTTCGCCTTCCATGCGCGGATCTAGATGGGGGTGGGGGGGGTTAGGACCCCTTCGAATTAACAAGGTTACTAAAACATGGAAAAAAGTTACCCCCCCCCCCCACCCCCATGAAATAGAATTTTGACGTTTGAGGAAGTTTAGTTTTTTTTCTTCTTTTTATGCTTGTCAAGAAATTTCTGGGATTGGGTTTTTTTTTTTTTTTGACTCTGTTGCCCCCCCCCCCTCCCTGGAAAAAAAATTCTGGATCCGCGCCTGCCTACCCATAACTCTCCTCACTCCTTTGCAAAGCCCTGTCCCTAGAATCACGCGCATTAGCAGTTACTATCTGTCGTGAAATAAAGTTCAGTTCAGTGGAAGGTTCTGAAAAACAACCCAATTTATAAGGGTTAACTAGTTTCAAAATCTTTAACATTTTTATAACAATTAAACTGTAATTCAAAAATATCCAACAAATAACTTTAGTAGTGTTATATTTTTCAGGCGAGAGAACAGTGACGTAGCATCGTTTTTGAAAGTGGGGAGGGGGGGGGCAACAATAGAATAAATATTCAAGCTACCCGGCTGGAAACAACTTGTCAAGCGCAAAATAAACCCCAGGAAATTGTCCAAATTTGAAAATACTCGGAACCGGGGAAGGGGGCGGGGCTTAGCCCCCACTTCTTTCCAAAGATAGACTTAGTATAGACATTGAACATTCCTGCGTAGCTTTAGCCCCCCCCCCCCCCACTTTTTTTTGTTTTGCTTGTGAAGGTCTAAAAAAAATTCTTATATACTTACCCCCCCCCAACTTTCAATTAGCTTCCGACGCCAATGAAATCCTATTTCGGGGGCGGGGTAGGTTTTGAGTTAGATTCAACTTCTTCTTTAGAATCAAATTTAAATTTTCTTTCTACTATACGTACTACATTTACTTATTTGACCCTTACTCTTACAAAAAGTGGCTCGGACTTTAAATGAACATAGTATACTGTATAGCAGGTTAAAATCGCGGTCGGAAAAGATCGCGATTTGTTCAATTTTCAGCAAATCGCGGTCGTTTGAATTCGCATAAAGGAAAAAAAAAACATACATTTTTTATACAGTACTTGCAAATCATTTTTCTTAAGTTATATATTGTATGAACTGTCATTTCCAGTCTCTATTATATCGCGCATATCAGACAGGAAAGGCAAGTCTAAATATTGTGTCAATTGTGAGCCCGATTGAATAATTACGAAATACCGGACTGATCCCGATTTGAAGTCAAAATAATGTTACGCATCCAGAATTTTTTTTTTTATTTCTGAGTCCAAATAAAAAAATTTATACAGTACTAAGTAGTCCAAATGTTGAACTTTTATTCATATAATTGAAATTAATTAATTGTCTTGACCCTGTTTACTACGCTTGTGCCTTGATTAAAGGTTGACTGAGTGATACGTGAAATTATACAAGCTAATCATAGATGGCAAAATTACCGTAATCGTTAGCTATAGAAATTAATTTAACAATTCATAAGCTTTAAAACACCAACAACTACGTGTTTGTAATTGATCCATACGCTCGCATAAGTATAAAGACAGTCTACATCTAATCACCGATGATAATAAAATTTCAGTTTATCCTTATAAATCATTTCAAGAATTATTCACTGTATGTTGAATTCGCGGAATTTCTTTTTCCGCGAATATAGCGAATATTAACTCCGCGAGTTAATTTCCTGCTGTACAGTAGTATAAAGTTATGTCTGAAAAAAGAAGCCGTTATTCTTAGCCCAGAGAAAATAAATATGGAGTTTCCATAATTGGATCGGGAGATCGGATCCGGCCTTCAGAAGTTCGATTGATAAAGTATTAAGGCGTATTGAAGAATCTCAAATAACCCGACCCGGGTTTGCTTACCTAGTTTTACCAACACTCGTAGCGAACACCACGCCACCTAGCGTTATCATGCCGCACTAAATTTTGACGGTTTGACAACTTCCATTCGTCTTCATTGAACATGCTTCATTGTTAGCGTGATTGAATTAACATTCGTAGTAGAGATAATGCTAATAATTTATTAAAGAAACTGTTTAAGTTTAAAAGAAAGTAGAATGAATTTACAAGAATAAAGCAACATAGAAGTAAAAACAAAATGAAGAATGTAATAAAGACGAATATGAAAACAATAAAGTGACATATAATTACAATAATAACAAAGCATAGAGAAGTAGGCAGAATAAGAATAAAAGCAAGATACATAGACTTTTGGCGGTAATTCCCTTCCATATTATTCGTGATTGATGTTTAATGTTTTAAACTTCACTGATTCGATTGTTTGGCGGGAAGGAACAATTACCGGCGAGTGTAACTGGTTCCTGTTAAAAATTGAAAATGCTGTCAAAAATAATTAAAGTGGAACAAATACAAACTTGATCTATAATTCATCAATATTAAATAGAATTCCAAAAACTCAACTCAGTGTCTACAAGCGTTTATTAAAACAAAATGCGAAAAATCTTTAAAAATTAAAAAGACTATAATTCCATCAAAACCATTGAAGCGGAACGAAATGCAAATTCTATCTAAAACTCATCACGATACACTCAGATACCAAAAATCAGCTAATATCTCCAAGCGATAAGGTAAAAGGAGTGGTGGACCAAATGTCTGCTATAATTGCTGTGTATGCGTACAGTGTGTGTTTGTTTGTGTCTGTGCTTGTCGCTCTCGCTTTCAGTACCACTCCGGGCTAACAGTTTGCTGTGAAAAGGAAGCAAAATATGTAAGTCTTCCTTGACAGGTACAGCCTCTCAACAGTTAGACCTATGTAGCCCAGATATGGGATCCTCCTCGAGGTAGCAGATGGAAATTGGGTACCTTGCGGCCCCAAGCAAAACCACAAGGTCTTGGAGGAGACTATAGGCCCCTAAATGCCTAAGAGCATTAGCTGGGTAAGGCAGTTACCTAGAAGATAAACTCTGATTTAAAAATCACGGGCAGATCTAGTCTCGTCAGCCATGAAAAGCAATAGATCTAGTGGAATGAAATCATAAACAAATTACCCTGGTCCTCCATGTTGGGGTTGGGCAAGGGGGTAATCTCCCCTTCCTTTAAAATCATAGCGATTACAGAAACAATGAAGGACTAGAAATATTTCTACTAACGTCGAGTCTTCACCATACCAGCAGAATACTGCATGTTTGACTGTGAACAGTGAAAGCCGACAGGAAGCTGTCCACACGAGAAGTATACTGAACACACGAACTAAAATGAGAGTCGGTTTCTGGAATGTACGTACCATGTATGAAACAGGAAAAAAGGCTCAAATTCTGAGAAAGATGAAGGAAAACAGCTATATGTACTAGGCATACGTGAGTGTAGATGGACAGATTGTTGGACGAATATTGAAAGTACAGGTGAAGTTATCGTGTACTCTGGAAGAAGAGACAATCAACATGATGAGAGGGTAGCAATCATCCTAAGTAAAACTGCAGCAAAATCATTAGTAGAATACCATCATGTAAATGAAAGAATCATCAGAGTAGGACTGAAAACAAAACCTGTACAGACATCTATAATACAGGTTTATGCCCCTACAAATGAAGCAGAAAATGATATTAAAGAGGAATTCTATGAGGCTCTACAGGCCGAATTTCAAAAAGCTCCAAAGCAAGAACTGACGATCATCATGGGAGATCTCAATGCGAAAGCTGGAAGCGATAATGTTGGTTATGAAAGAGTCATGGGGAGGAATGGCTGTGGAAGTATGAATGAGAACGGTGAATACTTCACGGAATTCTGTGGAAACAACACTTGGTCATTGGTGGAATACTGTTCCAGCATAAGGAGATACACAAACTCACAAAAGTGTCACCTGGATGGAGAGATAAAAACCAAATCGACCACATCGCTATCAATGAAAAATGGAAACGATCTTTGCAGGATGTAAAAGTGAAGCGTGGGGCTGATGTTGGAAGTGATCACCACATTGTTACTGCCAACATAAAGCTCAAGCTGATGAAAGTAGCTCCAAAACAACATAAGGCGAATAGATACTGGCAAGCTGAGAGAAAACAAAGTGAGACAAGACTTTGATTAAAACTCAAGAACAGATTTCAGGTCTTGCAATGTAGTGATGTTGAGAATGAAGCGGTTGACGATCACTAGGGTAAAATCTGCAACCTGTTCAATGAATCAAGCAGGAAGACTCTAGGGTTTAAGAGGCAGGTGCATAAGGAGTGGATTACACCAGATACTTGGAATATCATTGACAAAAGGAAAGACCTAAAAAGTAAGTTATGTAACACCCACTCGGAAGAATAAAAGAGAGACTAAGAGAACAATATTCCAACTGCAATAAAGATGTGACGAAAGCAACAAAGAAAGATCGTAACAGTTTTATAGCAGGCATAGCAAGAGAACCTAAGAAAAATGCTTCTGAACAAAGAATGGGAGATCTCTATCAAATAACAAAAAAGAAGTTGAGTGAAAGGAAAAGAAAAACAAATATGCCTGTGAAAGACAAGCAAGGCAACCTCATTACATCCGAAAGAGAACAAGAAGACAGATGGAGAGAACATTTTGAAGAAGTGTTGAATCGCCAGGAGCCTAACGAGCTGGCACACATACCGGAAGCTGACACTGATTCAGAAATTGAAACAGAGGAACCATCTAAAGCTGAAATATTCAAAGCAATAACAGCCCTTAAGAACAACAAAGCACCTGGAAATGACCAACTGCCAGCAGAGTTATTTAAAGCAGATCCAAACCATGCAGCAGGCATTTTACACTCATTATTCACCAAGATCTGGAATAATAACACAATACCTACGACATGGTCCAAAGGAAATATCATTAAAGTGACAAAGAAAGGAGATCTTATTTACTGCAATAACTGGAGGGCAACACCTTATTATCAATACCTAGTAAGATTTTCAGCAGAATAATAATCGACAGAATTAAAACTGCAATAGATGCCAAAATAAGACAAGAGCAAGCAGGTTTTAGGAAAGGAAAAAGCTGTTGCGACCAGGTGCTTACCCTATGAAATATTAAAGAGCAATGTACAGAGTGGCAAAGACAGCTTATAATAACCTGTATAGATTTTGAAAAAGCCTTCGACAGTATCCACAGAGAAAGCTTATGGAAGATCTCAAGACATTATGGAAAACCATCAAAGATAGTGGAACTGATAAAAGCCTTTTACTTGGAGTTTAATTGCTCTATAGGCAGCTCATCAGATGCATGCTTCATAGTAAAATCTGGCGTGAGGCAGGAATGTATGATATCAGCTCTCCTTTTAATACTAGCAATTGACTGGGTAATGAAATCAACCCTTAATGGCAATAACACAGGAATAAGATGAACACTCTTTACCAGTCTTGAAGACCTGGACATCGTAGATGACTTGGCCCTACTATCACATCTAGAAAAGCATATGCAAAGTAAAACATCAAAGTTACAGAGTAATGCAGAAAAAATTGTAAAAATCAATACCAAGAAAACTGAAGTTATGTCATTAAACACCAAAAACCAGCAAGAATAAAGGTTGATGGAAATGACCTGAGCAACACAACAACATTTACCTATCTTGGCAGCATAGTAACATCAGATGGGGGTGCGGACAAAGATATAACGGCCAGACTAAGTAAAGGTAGGGGTGCCTTCATCAGCCTCAAGAACATCTGGAAAACAAAATGACATAAGTAGGACAAAAATAAGAATATATAACAGCTGCGTACTGTCTGTCCTACTCTATGGGGCAGAATGCTGGAGAATGACAGAAGGAGACATTTGCAAACTTTCTAGTTTCCACAATGGATGCCTCAGAAAGATCATGAGGATTTTCTGGCCAAATAAAATTACATATGTGGAACTCCATGAGAAGGCCAACACAGACGACATGCGAACTTTGTTGACTAAACGGAGATGGCGATGGATAAGGCATGTGTTGAGGAAACCAGCCAATAACATCACCAAAGTAGCCCTTAGATGGACACCGGAAGGGAAGAGGAAACCTGGTCGGCCAAAGACCACTAAGCGAAGGACTGTTGAAAAGGAAATGAGGGACCACAAACTTTGAGAGAACTGGAGAGAAATGTTCAAGATAGAGAGAAGTGGAGAAGTCTTTTCCTTGTCCAATGTGCCCACGGGCATAACAAGGACTAGGTAGGTAGGTACTGAGTAGGTAGGTACTGTAGGACCAAATAGGAAGGAAAAACAGAGGAACAGACGGACGGACAGACGAAGAGGAAACCCAAACTCACCTGAGCCAGTTTCACCGGTATGGGATAAAAAACAACAATAATACCAAATTGTTGTGATTTCAGAGCCGGAAATATACGGACAGACCTCCTGTTCCTTCTCTAGAAGTCCGAATATCCGAAATTTTCCTGGCTTTTGCGATTTTTCAAAAACGTTGAAAATGCCTTGCCCCAGCATCATGAAACATCTTAAGCTTGTAAAAGCTTGTAAACTTCAAAATTTTCATTTTATATTAAAATGTTGTAGCAAACCAAAATTAAAATATTTTTCAATCTTCAAAAAAGTGTTGTTCATTATCTCCTAATTTAGAGATAAATTCCAAAATTAAAAAGTATTGTAACATGTAACCTTATTTAAGGGTCCGTTTTCAGGGATACAGGGTCTTAATATTACATAAATATATGTGAACTTTTCCTCTGGCTCTATCTGAGCCTACAATTAATACTGGGGATTAAAATTATTTACAATAATGATTATTTATTATTTTTGTGGGATACTTGTCCTTGTTCTATACTTTTTTTTAAACAGCGGGATCTACAAGCCGAGGTTCTTTGTTACCAAGTACTACTTGTATGACTGGGCTCACTGCACCTGGTTCCAAAACCAAGTTCTTGTTGTAATGAGTACTCGGTACCTCACCCTTATTCAGGACTACTGTACCTTGCACTTCACCACAATTCCTTGGCTTACCATTTACCGGCGCTCTGTACCCTAGCCTTAATTTTATTTCACTATTTTAATTCTTCTGTTCTAATATTACCTATTATCTTCTTTTCAACTTCCCACTTCTTCTACGGGTTTCAGAATGGTCGAGACTGCCTCTGCAGCCTTTTATATAGCCAAGGGCTATACCATTCAAACAGGGGTGAACAGGCTCTTGGACTATTCCATTAGTCCAGGTCACACCAACGTTTGAATGGTATAGGCCCATTGCCTTATTCATTACTCATTACACTACCCACGCCTCTGTATACTTGCGTCCCGCATGTTTATTGGTTATGCTTTTTTTAGACAATAAAAAGATCAACAAAACGAGGTTAAGAATTCCTTTTTTATACCCAGTTAAACAATTAGTCAAGTATTTACTACAATAGACTTATGTACATGTACATTGTTTCTTTTCCAAAGTACTTCACTATAATTAGTCATTCCAAATGTCTTCCTCAACTCTCTCCACACATTCACCATCCTTTTGTATTTTCTCACTACTCTGACTGTCCTGTGGTGACGACTTGTGTCCGTCTGAGTGCTGACATCCATCCTAGTAACATGTTCCTTACAGCAGGGGCAGTGATGTTAAACCATGGAACATAGAAGGCCGGGTTTCCGGGGGGTAACTTTGGTCAATGGCATGATCTGAAATAAATACAAGAGGCCCATGGGCCACAACGCTCACCTGAACCACCTCGGCCCAATTGTTCTTCAGAGGATGAAACAAAGGCACTTTTCCCCCATGAAATATGTTTTCCAAGGGTAAATTATAGACTAGATTTGTGGCCTCTTTAGTAAATTAAATCCATATAAGAGGGGAATGTTTTAATTCCAAATGAACCATCTGTTTACTTAATTGCATTTAAGTGCAGAGGCTTTTAACACGCTATTGTTTAAATATGTTCTCATTTCTCAAGACTGTCACAGGTAATGATTGTATATAATTATATTTATTTTTTATGCTTACATCAATAAAAAAATTGCAGTTTTAAGGCTGTATTTAAAATTTTATTTGATTTCAAGAATTATAACAAATGTTTTGTATTATTAGAAGTGAAATGTTACACATGCATGTACATTAGTACAGATTAAAAACTGAATTTTGATACATTTTGAGTACAGTGTGTATAATTTGAAATTTGACACTTAAACTTTGTGAAGAAGCTATCTTAATGAAGGAATGCCTTACTAGTGACAATTCAAGAGCATATATAATTATACTAGTATTGATTTAGATAACATTTATAAACTTGAGAATGAATGTTTAATGAAAAATAAAACAGCATCAAAAATTTTAACAATACAGTCATAATATAAATATTTCTTAAATATGTTATTTACATGAAGAAAATAATCACCAGTCAAAATAATCTTTTCCATTGAAAATCGAAAAAAGGAAAGATTATGTGAGTGAATTAGAAAGGAAAAAAACATTTTACTATCACAGATAAAAATTTCTAACCTCAGATTCATGCAATATTGTTGGATAATGAAAAAAGAACTTTTTTTTCTCTATTGGAAAGAATATTTGTAATTCAAATGATATATCATGTTATATAATATTTTGATTGTACAGTGTATTTTTCTTCAATATATTTCTTAAAGAGGTAGGTTTACCTCCCTTTACGGGCTGGCCATTGACCCCCTCTTTCCATACTTACCTGTAAATGACACTTATTATAGGCTTTGAAGTTCATATAATGGCAGTCACATTTTACTTCATAATCATAAAATTCCACACAATCCATGATAGAATATACAGAACTTTTTAATAAACTCATTAGAATATATACTGAATCTGAGGTTTCACAAATAATTACTATATCTGCTGTGTTGATGACTACTACAAGCATTGTAATTCATTTACACGGGTTATTTTAAAGAAGCAATTTTTTTTCCAAAACAAAAAATAACTATACAAAAAATATGAAATTAAAGTATAATATCAGTCTTAGATAGTTTATATTTCAGTTTTATGATATAAATAATTTTTAAAAAGTTGACTAGCATTATGACATGAATAAACATTTAAACACATCTGAGCTTAAGTTAAAAGTCCATAAATGAAGAGATCCTGACTTCTAAAATCACAGAAGCCATATGTCTGAGAAATGTCAAAATCACATGGCTATTATATAGTGTTACAGCTAGCTTATAGCAATGTCCGAACCACAGCTAGCTTATAGCAGTGTCAAAATTACAGCCAATGGCACAGTCCAAATGATGTCACTACCACGAGTCAAAACTGTGCAAATTTAAATTCCAGTAAGAGTCTCCTTCAATGTTATTATTATAATCGTGATGATCCTTGATTGTAATTTCAGTATAAAATCTATACCACACAATTCATTATATATAGTCTTGTTTAAAAGATTGAATATATTAATTAAAGTATACAAATATGATATTATTACATCAAATGGAATGGACATTTTGCAACAAGAAGTGGATATCAAATTGTTTTATCAACAATTCACATTTCCTATTCTATATGAAAACAAGGCAATAAACTGCTAGATAGTATACAAATATGATAATTACATCAAGTAAAAATTTTACAAGAAGTGGATATCAAATTGTTTTATCAACAATTCACATTTCCTATTCTATTTTATCTGAAATTTAAGTAAAAATACAGCAATATGTCAAATTTTATCCCACACAAAGAAACACTAACTTTTAAGTTCTAATTTGGGTTACATCTTTTGAAGTCACTAAAAGACAACAAAATATCAGAATAATATACCTCCCAATTAAAAAAAATCCAGATATTCAGCAATACAAATATTACCATTGGAAATATGCAGAAATAAGCTAAGAATTGAAACAGTAAATCTAATTTAAGCAAAGTTTTAACATTTCATTAGAAAAACAAACAAAAACAGAAGTCTCTGACAATACTGAAGCTCTACATACAATAAAGAAAGGTATAGACTATTAATGTAAAAAGTCATTTCATACCAACTTTAAA